TCAAAGAGTTATTGGGATCAGATATGTTTGCAAATAGATTAGCAACTAGACTAATAAGATGTTGAATGCAATAAACACTTTAGAGCCCAAAGTTTAGGTTAAAGTTGAGTTAAAATTGTTATAAAATGAGTAGCAAAACAAAATAATTGTGTGAATTCTCTGTATAAGAAGCGTTTCATTTCATTAGTTTGTGTCTAAAGGCTAAATAATACCAAAATTAAAAACGGGTTACTCATATTAATATACAGTATTATGTTTTGTGCAGCTCTCTCTCTCTCTCTCTCTCTCTCTCTTAAATAATTTTAATTTTAACGGGTGTTAGAATCATTAAAATTTACAAAAAAATGCTGATTAATATTACCGGCAAATTAAATGTATTTAAATCTCATACCTTAGGGATAGCAAACATTCAAAGAATACATACTTTAGGGGATAAGAAACATCTAATTAATTGTGAGCTCATAAAAGTATAGGTTTATTGTCCAGTGTTAATGAATAATTATAAAACAGATATGCAATACACAAACCACAAGTTGAATGACTTTTTAGGTAATAAAATATTAAACTTTTAATGTTAGTTCAGATGAATGGGTAATATTTGTATAGATCTAACCGATAATATAATTTACAAAATATATTTCCATAGAAAATCATTTGTTTTTATTACGGTACTGATTAATATATAAATATTTACAAAGCATATAAATTCATTTATAAACTAATAATAAAAATAAAGTTTATAAATAATAATTAAATAATAATTACATATTTGAGATAATATCGACAAATTGGAAAACAATGAACGCCTAAAAAGTCAAACAAATTTGTTTGGGAAGAATCTCAAGCCATAAATGCTTTCATCTCTACAAACGATTCCAATGGTCTCGCAGTCGATGAGTCGCTGTCGGGCTAACGCCAGAGGAATGCTGGCCTCGATAGCCAGCTCTTGGGCCGACACAGAGTTACACTTTTCGAGCAAATCGATTATCTTATTATTCATGGCATTCGCGTTGTAGTTATCACTCTCGAGGACAAGCAGACCACTCGAGTACTTCACGAGCTTTAGGCCACACTTTTGGGACGCGAGTGTCGAACAGGCATTCAATAGATCTTCAACTGATATGAGCTATAATTGTCGACAAAATACACAGAATTAAGAGATAATTACAGACATTAAGTGATGGCATACTTCTAGACCACGCGCTCTATTCACAGTGCAAAAGACGTCCGTCAAAGACATTTGTCCACCACTTTGGCGGACAATGGGATCGATAATAGTATTGATTTGTTTGGCTAACGAAAGATAGTATTTATTATCGCTGGAGAACTGGGATCTGAGTACCGGGTCATCCAACTGTTCACTGATTCCGAGACTCAATAAATGACTTTTGAATAAAACGGTCTGAAAATGACACCAAAAACACAATCAAT